TTTTTGCTTTAAATATGTCTTTGTAGATATTGTTACAGCTTTTAAAATCCAATCTGGGAGGACTGTGTGAGACAAGGCAATTTCAGTATCTCTGGAGAAATGGGGTGGATGAAATAGATGGGCAGACCTTCGACGGAACCAGGTGGAGACAGAGGAATTTCAAGGTGGAGGAGTCTGCAAAAGGAGTTCATAATGGGCTTTAATTTATTCCAACCCAAACTTGTTGGTACCTTTGAAGTTAAGTCTGATCACAAATGGCTTAATATGCTTCCTGAAAAAGCTGGGGTGATCCGCGTGTGTCCAGCTGTGCCTGTTTCCATTGGAAAAGGAATATTCAAAGGTTGGATGAAAGTTTGCTCATGAGAAAGTTCAAAAGAGACAACCTTTATGAAACAATGGGGAAGCAAACAACAAGGGAAGGAAAGAGAGACCCTTACCCATGACATTACTGAACATCCAAATGCTCTCTTAGCTCTGCATTCCTTATGTTATTACTCAACAGTTGAAGGGACTAACAGCTTTTTGAAAAAACTGGCTACTTTCCAAAGAACTGGCAGGCAGGTAAATAATACACATGACCTGACTGAAATACACTGAAGTCAGGGACATTTGCCTTGTAATGAGAAAATACTCAGAAGAGGACTGCCTGCTGAAGTACATTAAGATTCATAAGAAAAAATTAGGCCTGAAAGACTAAGAGGTTTGCCGGGTAGAGGCAAAGCATACATGCACAGTTGCCCTGCCTGATATTTGGAGCATGGAGAAAGGGCAACACGGGTCCAGAGGATGTACAATCCCTTCACAATTCTAGTACAGCTGCTCTCAAAAGATTTAGATGAAGCTATTAATATATTTTATTGATCCCAAAATTCTGGATCTCATTTCTAATATTTAAGCAAAAGTCTGTGGCAAATATGGTGCAGAACACAGAATTAGGCAGTTTCAAATACATTCAAAATAAAGCAGACATCTTCAAAAAACATCCTATATGGGATATTTTCAAGGCAGAGCTGTAGGGAATGTGATAGCAGACTTCCAGAAAAACCTAAGAGCCATCATTTCAAAAGATTTCCTGATTTTTCTACCTCTGACAAGTAAATAATGGTGTGAGACCCTTCTGGGGAAGAGGGAAGGACAATCATCTCTTGAATTTTCCTAGCAACCTATGGCAATGTCTTAACCATCTCCAGTTCACAGATAACCTGGCTGCAGGTTTCCCCATCTTAAGTCATGAAGGACACATGAAGGACAAAAGAGTGCATACTTGCTATGTCTTTGAACTGACCAGGAAAAATGAGAGCTGGCAGCCTCAGAACCAATCAAACTGAACTTAACCTTTACAGGTTTAGACTTATGACCAGTTGGTAGCAACCGCTGCATTTATAGAGCACTGGGAAGATCGCAAGGAGAGACACAGGCTCCCTTGTAGCTTCTATCCTCAGACCTCTAATACCAGGTGCTGCTGGTGCTCCAAGTAAATCTATTGTTTCAAAATACCTAAGAGAATGAATAGATTTACTTGTTCTCTGAGCTCCAAGTAAATCTATTCATTCACATAGGTATTTTGTTAACTCTACGTTCACAGAATCTCTGGGATACAAGAGCTCTCAGGAGATTCTGTGGTCCAACATACCTACATGAGGCGCCTGGCCAATGTCACACTCTTGAGTGGCAGACTGGGTCTGGATCCTTCTCTCAGTCTCATACCCTCCACAATGACAATGATCATCACCAAGATTTTCATTGGTCAGAAAATGAATACACAAACACATCTTGGTATCAGAACTCAAAAAAAAAAATACATCAAATGACACCTTTTAAACCAATGACAATGGTTTCTATTCTTGTTTCCAACTCAATTCCTCTTTCAGAATATGCTCTTCAAGAAACATTAGGCTTGGTAATGAGGACTCTGAAAGCCAAGAGTCCCAGATTCTACTGCAGAAACACCAGCATGACTTTCTGTGAAACTCCTAATAAATAATTCAGTATTGCCTTGAAGCCACTGAGTAACTGGAAATAATTTGGAAGCTGGTGTCTCAAATAATTACCAAGTATACCCACACGAGAGTACTATTTCCCACGAGAATTGTTAAAAGTTCCACCCAGCAAGTCCACAGTAAATTGGCATCTCGTCCCTACCAGGTAACTCACATCAAAATTGTTATCTTTTTAAAAGTCTGTTTTCAGCCTGCCTTCTCCAAGCCCGTCTAGTAGTTGCCTTCTGAAGGTCCAGTTCAAACCCAGTAGGCCCCCTGCTGGACAACAAAGAGGAAAACAGTGGTGAAAATAGTCACAAGCACCTAAAGGATCTTTTACAGGGTGTGTCGTGGCCATTTGGCCAGTAAAGCATTGGGGAACAGGCCTTCATTTACATTCTGAGTTTTTGAACACACTGACGAAAAGGGAATGGCCATTTATGGGGCCTCCATAACGTACTAGGCACAATGTATGCCGTTTTCATATTCAATATAGCCTCCCAACATCCCCTAGATAATAAACCTTACTTCACAGATATGAGGTAAGTGAGGCTCCGGTCATGGGGCCTGTATTCAGGAGAAAGAGCCCAGTCTGTGTGTCTTGGTCATTCAGACACACCTAAGGTCATTCAGCTAGAAAGCAGCTGAAGTAGAATTCAAATATATCAGTTTCCTAAAGATCAAATTCTTTTCACATCATACGCCAAATATCCCAAGCAAGAACACTGATATATTTTAAGTAAGGAGCCGATGGAAAAGATATTTCTCTTATGACTACTGGGTGAGGCTCCTCTTTAACTAAGCAACAGACCAGAGGCTGAGTGGAGTTAGTGCCCACAGGGCAGGCCAAACTCACAACCTATTTGTCTAAAGACGGCATCAAAGGCTGTTCACCATGACCAGGTGAGGACTGTTCAAATACCCTGGGCCGGCAAGGCTTCCTGAGACCAGGAGAGTGCAGAAAATTACTTACTGAAAGTCAACAAGATTTTAATGATAAAGAAGAGCATGGACTCTGGAGCCAGGCTGCCTGGGCTTAAAATCCCATCTCCTGTTTTGCTCCAAACAGTCCAAGGCATGTGTGCACATGAGGGTGTCTGGATGTGGGGGCAGTGCAGATGGATGGGCAGGAGCAGCCAGGTAGTGGGGTTTGCTGAGGCATGCTGCATCTATTTTTGTGTATGTTTAAAACATGCCATAATAAAAGCTTAAGAATAAACAAACCAGGGCTCCTCCACTCACTAGCTGGTAACATGGAAGATTTCCTAGTCTGCCTCAGCTTCCTCATTTGTAAGATTGAGTGCTAATCGTACATATCTCATGAGACTGTGTGAGACATAAATACATGTAAAATATCAAGCTACTATTGTTTATATAGTAACTATGAGTAACTCGATTTGGCTTTACAAATACACTATTTTAACTTAGCCCTCCCTACAATCCTATGAGGCAAGATAATCTCTAAGTAGAGTCAAAGGGGTTCCAGGAGCAAAATCTGCATCAAAACCTACGTTTGTTCTAAAAGCCTTATTTTCTACTAGAGGGCTCACCTTCCTAAAAGCGACTTTACCAGTTCTTTACAGACAGGGAAACAGATTCAGCGGGGTTAAGTAATCCACAATGCTGAGTGGTAGCCTGGGAACTAAATATAGATCGGCTAATTCCAAGACACACAGACTGGGCTCTTTCTGCTGGAGTGGACGGGCTTTCCTTGCTCCATTCTCACAGCATCTGCCGTGGGAAGGGGACTCACCAGCCGCACAGCGGCTGCTGCAAGGAGCAGGGATGGCTGCAGATGCCTTCCTCCTCCCTCCAGCTCCTGAATGAGCAAGTCCTTGGGGTAGTGGCCTGCAGTCTTTCTCAGACCAGCAAGCACTGAAGCTCATAACAGAACCAAATAAAAGGGAGGAAAACAGAAACCTTAGAGGAACTTGATGCTAGCAACGTCTGAATTTGGGAAGTATTTTAGCAAATATCTTTACAGGGCCACGGGCCCTTGAGCAAACATGAGGAGGTACCAGGTCTCTCTGAGACCAGCTCACGGAGCAGGCTGCAGAGCTCTGTCAACCTGCCGAGTCCAAGCTCTCCAGGCATCAGCCAGAGAAGTCCTTCCTTTCAATAGCTGCTTTGTCCTTTCTGAGAGACTCACTCCAAGAAGCCCCAAATCTCCACTAACAGCCTCTGCCATCAGTGAGCGAGTTGCACAGCCACCAGGATTAGAATAGCGCTTCTCTCCCCACAAATCTCCATAATCAGCAACGACAGGAGAACAGACATCCTCAAAACAGTAACCATGAATCTGACTTCCAAAAAGGGGCTGCTCCATCAGGAAGCAGGACCGCATGAGCAGTGCTTTTAGAATAAAATGAAGCAACCATTCCAGCCAATTTGCATTGAAAACTCACCTAGAATGCCAACAATTTGCATCCTTTCAGCTAAGAACAAAATCAAGCCCGACCTTTATTTCCAGGACCACTCTGTATTGCTGTTTGCACAAACATATGGAATTAAAGTAGGAAAAACTAACTAGGGTAAAAATCACCTGTGGTCATATTCCAATTAGAACTCTTACTTCATAAAGCAGGCCAATTAATCCATCCTTTCTGTCCCTCTCCATCTTAAAATTATCAGTCAAAAAGCATAATTTTACTTGAAAATGATGAGCAGAGGGAGTTCTGGGGAAGGTGGAGAGAGCCACAGAAGAAAAGGAAGGAGAGGGAAGAGGGGCAGACCCGGGGGCAAGGGGAGTCCCACAGACAGCACCTCCTGCAAAATATGATAAGCATCCAATTTAAGGCTATTATCTCCTTTATTCAAAAAATAAATATTTCACTGGGATTCAACATATTTCAAATCACATTAAGCACAGAGAAGAAATACAGTCCCTTTGGAGATTGTGAACACGTGCTGGAAAGAGGCATGATCCAAACAATGGGAATGAGGTGAGTGTGGATTCCAGCTGCTTCCTGACCCAGAGGTTCCTCCCCCTCTTCAGGTGGAGCTACTTAACTATTTTTAGGAGAGAAACACACACACACACACACACACACACACACACACACACACACACACGCTTTGAAATCTGAAAGGCACATGAAGTGGACCATAAGGTGTATGGCACATTCACTGATAAAACATCCCCTATTCCCTCCCAAGAAAAGCAGAGATACTTTAATCAAGTCAAAGATCAGAGAAGACAGGGTGCTCCTGCTTATAGCTCAGCAGCATGAACATCTCTGAATATGAAAGCCATTTTTTGTTTGCTTCCCCCTCCGGCGCCTCCTCTCCCTGCCAATGGGGTCCGAGGGCCAGCTGCAGGGCTCACTCAGTGATGGTGGGGCGTGTGGCCACGTACACAAACACCACGATCAAGAGCACAACCACAGCCAGCGTGGGCAGCACCACCGTGGTGATCTGCTGCCGGGCCTCCTGCATGGCTTGCTTCCGCTCTTTCTTGTCCTTGGAGGTCTCCTTCTTGGGCTTCCCTTTGAGCTGCCGCATCTTTCCTAGAGGATGCTAGGAAGGTGTGTCCAGAGGGATTCCAGGAAGGGCCACACTCCTTGTCAAGGCTGGAACCTCCTGTAGGGGGAACAACCATGACGGTCAAGAATAAACCAAGTGGAAGAAAAAAGAAATCATAAAGTTAAAGGCAAAAACTAGGAAAAATATCTGCAACTTACATGACAAGGGGCTAAGAACAGAGGCCACACCACGCTTTAAGTTCCCTTGGGATTAGCCCCCTAAGTAGTGGGCACTGGGTCGCCAGTATGCTGTGAGAGGGGCCTCTGCTCCAGGGGCAGCTGGACAAGGTCCTGGATACCAGACGAATAATACTGTATTCTGTGCATGCCACGAGGCAAAAGGATTGGGAAGCACCAATTACGCCCCATCTGCTCAGAGGAGTGGCTCTCCCTTTCATGGCTCAAGCCACTTGCTTTCCTGCTCTAAATTCCATGATCTCCCCAGCCGATCTCCAGCATGGAACTACAGGCAGCCTGCAGTCTCCAGGCACACAGCACCCCTCCTGCCCAAGCCAGGCCAGCCTCATTAAGGCTGCAGAGAGCCCAGGGCATCAACCTCTCTCATCTCTTTGTTGGTTCTCCTTGGCTCATTCATCCAAACCTTCCCAAGCACCCACCATGTGCCAGGCATTGCTCAAGGAGCTGAGGGATAGAGATGAAGGACTCAGTTGTATCCCCACAGAGGTCACAGTCTAGGGGGAATGATGGAGTCCTGAGTCACAATAACAATGAAGGGAGACAGCTGAGCCCACAGTCCTGTTACCTGCTCAACCTGGGATTCTCTTGTGAATTCTGTGGCTCACCGAGGTGCCTAAGAGGTGAATTAGAACTTTCAGGAGCCTGAGGAATGAATAAAAACCTTTGGAAAACTACAGAGAAACATCTCTATTAAAGTTGGCTTCTTAGCTTTAAGCAAATGAAACAGACTTCAGCTGATTTAACTTGAGTTTACTTAAAGGCCTTTGGCATCTCACTGATTCCCAGAAAAGCCAAAGAAGGAAGCTCAGAAAATGGGCAGGACGCTATGCTGTGCTGCCATAACTGGAGCCCAACTCTCACACTCCCAGTGTGAGGATGCCAGAGCCTGTGTCACCACCAGTCAGCACTGGACGAGGGCACTGGAGCGGGAGGTGCTGGGCCACCATGACCACCCCTAAAAACTAGATGTGGCTGCTGGCACAGTCTCCACATGAACTTACCACCACCCAGCTTTCTGCATCACTGGCTCTCATGCATGTGCGACTGGCCAAGCCCAGGCCCATATGCCCACAGCCTACCCTTCTAATTTGTACATCAGGAAGAGTACTTTCCAAATACAGTGAAGGAGTGGGGTCGGGTATCAGGCAGGGATATATCAAAAGCAGATGTCTATTGTAATATCCTGGGAGACTAGCACAGAGTTAGTGGTTCTTGGAAGCAGAAGAGCATTGTATACTGTCTGCCCTGTTTTTTCCCAGGGTAGTGGGTGGCCTGTTGTCTTCTTAAGGAAGAAGGTGACATTTACACCTAAGTGACCGTGGTAGGTGGCAGTATGTGGATTCTGAGTTGGGAAAGGTCTATTGATATCATCCTGTTTTTTATGAGGGATCCTTACTCTCTTACCATTCCTCTCATTCCATTTTGACCCCAAATCCTTTTTCGGATCATTCACAATCAGGCAGAGTTTCTTAAGGTATGAGATGACAAATATTATAGTGCCAGGATGGCATTAACACCAATCAAGAGCAAATATTAAGGGAGGCACCATTTGGCAAAAGTATAATTTCCTTCACGAACCAGGAACAGAGAGAAAAAAAACCTTACTATTACTTTCTTAAGGCCTGAAAGGTTTAAGGACCCAGGCTTTACCAATTTTCCTTTTCAAGTCTTCCAAAGGACATCCAGACAGACTTGCCTTCAAATTCAGGACATCACTTACAAGCTAAATGGCTTTGGGCAAGTCACTTAACTCCACCACACCATCATGATGGCCACAACGCCATCATCTGAACAATGAGAACGGCTTGTCTTAAAGGATGACTGTAGAATCTGGAAAGCAAATGCATCTGTACACAGAGCTCTGCCTGCCTGCAGGAATGCGGTACAGACAGGCTAAGACATCTCCACCTGGTACCCGGGCAGCCGGGAACGGGAGCACTGAGCTCCTCTAAGCCTGACTGCCCACCTTCGCGGAACCATGGTGAGGATGAAACAGAAAGCTGTATAACTCAAGGCTGGGCACAGAACGGATGCTGAATTCATGCTAGCTGACATCCCAAAACCTGGAACGCACCCCAACGGCCCTGTGAGTTGAACAGACAGGATTTATTATCTCCATCATAGAAGGAAGGAAACCAAGGAGCAAAGAGGAAAAATGTCTTGCCAACAGTCACCCAGTTTGTAAATACTCCATGGCTTCTAACAGAGCTATGGACAGCATTCCTGTTCAAGGCTGCAAACAGCAGCCCATTCTCTCTGACACAGACACAAAAAATCGTTTAAAAAGAAGCCATTAGCAGCACTCTGATTCATGGCCATTTCCTTGTGGAGCTAATGGCCTGTCGGAGCCCACTGCTGTCTCTCCCAAATCCCTCACAGGACTGGCAGGTGATATCCCAGGCCTGGGGCTAGCCATGGCCTGGCTGTCTGGCTAGCAGTGCTGGGCCTGACTTCCTGCACTTCAAGCTGCTGTCTGCATCCGCCCACATACGTGCAGTTGACATTCAAAGGCACCAGCCTCTGTGATGACCAGTTCTCAACATTTGTAAGATGCATTCAGAAGTTCCTGGAGACACGGAAAAAAGTCTCAAGCTGCTGGAGCTGGGGCAGTCTGGTCAGGATTTAAAGGGCAAACATGCCCATGTGAATCCTGGGTGCTTCATCAAGTTTCAGGAGGCAGCCTCTCTGCTCTCACTCATCTGTGACCTGGGGCAGCAAGAGAAAGCATCTCTGAGATAACAACTGGGGAGGGGACCCTATGGTGAAAAGGGAAAAGCCAGGAAAAAAGCTGGGAAGAGCACTGGGCAGAGGGCACAGTGGCCTGAGCTGGGCAGAGTGGCCTGAACCAGCAGGGCAGGGCCTACCAAGGAGTAAGAGGAAGGAGGCAGATTATGGGGAGGCAAGGAGAGGGAGGAGCAGAGGCACTGCAAGTCATGGCAAGATTATTTCAACAACAATAGTAGGCACTGAAGGGCTTTCTGAAGAGGGGTGCAGGTGCCGAAAACTCCCTCTGGCTGGTCAGTGGGGAGTGGATGGAGAGGGAATGCAAAGGGAGGCTCTGGAGCAGTCTGGGAACGGGGGTGCTGTGGCATGGACATGGGGAGGGTCAGTGGTGGTGAAGAGGAGGATGGAGTTATGTTCTGAAGGTATAAGGGACAGGCCCCAGTGACTGACTGGACATGGCAAGTGAGGGAAAGGGGGACGCAAGAACGAATTCAAGTTCTGGAGCTTGAGCCACCACGTGGGTGGTGATTCCATTTCCTGAGGAGCAAGAAGGGGCATGGGGAGGAATGGGCACTGGAGAAGGGCAGAATGAAGACGTGCACTGAGTGCTCTCTGTGTACCTCTCTGCATGTGAGGACGCCTTAGACGATGTCATGGAAATAATATCAAGAAGGCGATTGGATAAATGAGTCAGGAGCTGGGTCTGGGCTGAAGATCTATATTTAGAAGTCACCAACTAATTGGATTAAGAGAGATCATGGCCCAGGCGGGCAGAGAAAGGGCCCTGGACTGAGCCCTGAGGCATCTGACAGCTATAGGGCAGGAAGGGGAAGAGCAAGCAGGGGATATTCAGAGAAGAGGGGTGAGGAAAAAGAGAATGTGCCGTAGTGGGGACCAAGACAGTGAAGAAGGTCAACTGTCAGAAGAGAGAGGCACTGGTGCCAGAACATAAGTGAACACACTGCTTCCTTCCTCGAGAACATTTGACCAGGGAAAACCTGTCTGTGGCACGTGCTCAGTGCAGAGCTGGCTGACACTCTGCTGTAAGCCCCTCCATCTTCCAGTAGCTTGTGATGACGGGTCTCTGCATGCCAACATGCCAAACATCACCAGGGCAGACAACTGTTTCAAAGTTCTGTGGGAAGAGTGTGTGTGGCCAAAAGGGTTTTTCTTTCTTTTTCTTTAAATAATAAGGGAATCCAGAGAATAATGTTTGAGGGGGCTAAGAGAATGGGAGAAAACCCTGACACTGAAAAAAAGAAGAGGTCTCTGTAGGAGCAAGACAAGAAGCCGAGGGGACAGACCCGCCTTTCAGAGGTAAAGTACCCTTCAAACTCAATAGAAGGACGGCAGGAGGATGGCACTGGGGCGGCAGGGTGGCTCTGGACTGTGTGGGTTGGGGGACTAGAGGCTTCTGTTTTTTTCAGTGAAATAGGAGAGGGCTTCAGCTTAAAGTCTGGGAAGTTCGGAGGCAGGCTCAGGGAAAGAGAAACCAAGATGCAGTCACCTTTGGAGGGTGGAAAGGCAACCTTCACAGCGCACTGTCCATGTCTGCCTCCCTCTGGGCTAAGGACTGCCTCTCCATGGCTGTGGGCCCAGGGGCTGCACAGGGCCACCTCCTGGCCTGGGCTGGCTCAAGCACATCTGCTAGGACCCCTGAAATGTGGGGTTGCCTAGAGGAGAAGCTGGGCCAATTGGCCTCTACTTCAAGAATCTAAGAGACATGAAAGGTCACTGAAGTTGGACAATCACACAGATGTAGTCACCGGGAAAGCCAGGTGGGAGAGAGCCCTGGGGGTGGAAGCAGCACCCCTGAGAGGCCGCAAAAGAAGCCTCCTCCACGCCCTCCTCCTTCTAGTCCAGTCCCCTGTGAGGCCCAGCTCTACACAGGCTCCTGTCCTCAGGGTATGCTGATATGTCTCTGTATAAGAGGAACACCTCTTTCAACTTCAGCTGGCTCCAGGGGGTCTCTGTCCCTTCTACTCGAAAGAGCTCTGCCTAAAATGACTGCTCCATTTTCACAATGAGGAATCCTGCCAACTGACACAAAAGAAAGGACTGGCAGAGTCATAGGTAAACCCACATCTGTGACTCTGAAGCCTGGAAATCCCCATCTTCCTGGGTGTACCCCACTTA